ATCCAAGAGATTATGTTCCTATGTCTCCTGAATAGGGTTGCTTTATGAAAAAAATTAGTATTTGAATCACCACACTTTTAACTACAATTGTCTTGACTTTTGCATCCATAAACATTCTTGTTGATTCATCCACTTAATCCTCAACTTTTCTAGTTGTTCTATCATGGAAAATTTTTCCATTGAATCTTGCTCCTCTAATTTTGTCAATTGCTCACTAACCCATTCAATCTTCTTATCCACATTCCCAAACACCCATTTATTCCAATGTTTCAAGTTTCTTTTAATACCATCTATCTTAACATTTATCCTATGACGAGCAAAACCTATAACCCTAACCTGCCATCCCTCCGTAATTATTTTAACACATTCATCCTCTTGCAGCCAAGATTCAAATAGTCTAAATGGTTTGGATTTGTTGACTGATTGTGTTTTCAGATTTAGAGCAATGGATTTATGGTTTGATCCCCATCTTGGATAGGCTTGCGCTTCAAGAGGACTGAACCAATTTAAGCATTCATCAGAAATAAAAATACGATCAAGTCTCCTTTCAATTCTGGCTAGACCTTGCTGACCATTACACCAAGTCTTTGTACCCCCTTTTATGTTTAGTTCACACAAATGGAATGTATTAATGAACTTTAAAAAGGCATTTCTAAGAGTTCCACTCCAATTATTCACGTTCACAGAAGAAGAGTTTTCCTCATGCTCTGTAACAGCTTTTAAGTCAACATTGAAGTCCCAATGACAATGCATGGCATATTTTCATTAGGCTTAGTTTGGAAGAGTACAAATGCGAATACGTAAAGTGCAAATACATACAAAATAATACAAAATACAAGGTTTTGCACTCTATATATTTGCATTTGTACTCCTTCCAAACTGAGACTTAATAAAATTTTCTAACATTTCTGTAAAAGATTCCCAATAAACAGAGCAACCAAGTTGATCAGCCGGAAATGAATTAACAGATAAAATAATATACTTTGATGAATCACTCAAAATATCTGCCTTTATATTTTCTTTCCAAAAGACTGCTAACCCACCAGCTAATCCTTCAGGAGGCACCAAGAAATAATTAGGATATCTTAATCGTCTAATAAGATTCTGGACTTTTAAATCAGGATTTTTAGTTTCAGAAAGAAAGATGATATCCGGTGCTTTCTTTTTACTCAAGTTTCTAAGGTTCTGCAATACATCCTTCCTAGCAGACTTTCTACAGTTCCAACTAAAAATCATAAAAGAATTTAGCATAGTTGTCAAGGTGTAGCCTAGGCAATTAGGAGCCCTTGGCTGGGTGCCTCACCCAAACGCTTTGACTTTTAGCAATTAGGCACCTGCCTAGGCGATTAAACGCCCGCCTAAGCGAAAAAAATGACAAGACAGGCACCTTTTATAATATCATTTATATTGTTGTATCATATTAATGTATGTGTTAATACATTTATATCAATTAGACTTTGTTTTAATGTTTTATTATTGAAACTTAAAAGATCAAAGGGTTTTGAGAAGAGAAAAAGAAAGAAAGAAAGAAAAGAAAGAATAGAATAATAAAGTTCCCTTTTTTTCTATTATCTCTCTCTCTATTTTAATAAAACAGAAACTCCATCCTTATTTTTTTCTATTTTACTTTCCATCTTGACTATTTATCATGTAAAGTTAATAACCTTCTTTAGCTGCTAATTAATATGAATTTGCTCTACTAAATACTTATTATAGTAGTATTATTTTTGAAAATAATGAAATTAATATATGTAAAAGATTTTTATCTTTTAGATGTAATAATTTGCCACATTTTTAGAGGAAATTTAATGTTCTTAATAAAGAGAATTTTTATTTTTTCAATTAACATACATACTGAATGGTATATAAACTAGGAAACTAGTCAAAATCAGTTTTTTATGTTATAAAATTTTTATTGCCTAGGCGATTAAGTGCTTCAGTGTTGCCGAGAATCGCCTAGACGCCTTGAAAACTATGGAATTTATTTTAGTAAGGCTGAGAATCTTTTTTGGATAATCCCCTAGTTGACAAGCACCACTCGATTCACCAATTTCCTTAATGCCCATACCCTTATTGCCAAGGCCAATTCCCCTCTGTATTCTCCCAGCGTTTGTTCTCAAAACACCTCTTTCCCTAACTTCGGACAAACTATCCAAACCTTTTTACCCAAACAAGAAACAAACAACAACCTGATCCCAATACTCAAACTAATTAAGAAGATTTACAAAACCTCCTCTAAAAACCAAAAAAAAAACAATAACAAACTTGTATACACGAGGAAGACATCCCCTAAAGACCCCACTCAGGGGAACAAGACTCTAGTTATAGAGATAGATCTCCACTAAGGGTATCGAAACCCCCAACAACTGGTAGCAAAAGAAAAACTTTTACTTAAAGAAGAACAACACCTTTGCAAAACTCAAGCCCTAAACCCAAAAAACTAACTCTAAGGTTATAACGAGGTACAACCCCAAATCATCTCCAATACTCAGACCATATCAAGAACATAACAAAAAAAAAATATAGGAAAGGAGAAGCTTACCAGTCTGTCTGAATCAATAATCAAAACAACGGAAAAGAGGGTTAGGGTTAAGAGATTCATACCAAGCAACTCTCTCCCGCATGAATTGATTTTCCCCCTAAACAAAACAGAAGCGTATGCCGACTGACTTCTTGACAAAGAAGATCAAACCCCTTGGACTTTACCACTTCACGCGGTTTATATTCCAATGTTCTTTGTTAGAGGAGAAATTATTCATCATCTTAATCGTTTTTTTTTTTTCTTTTAATTTTTTTCTCATGCATAAAACTTAATATATGATTGAATGAAAGATTGGGAGTTAATGCCTTAAATATAAGATTTAATGAAAGCGAAAATGAATGAGGTGAAATGTAATAGTTCAAATTATATTTTGTGTCCTTACCATTAAAAGGGAGCCAAATTCAAAAATAGAGATATTTTAGTCAAGGATAGAGATGAATCTATGTTAAATGAAATTAATATCTTAAACATAAAACTTAATAAGAGGAATTTGGATGAGAAAAAAATTGATTATTCAATTACATTTCTGTCCTTATAAATAGAGAGGAGCCAAATTCAAAACTTTGGGTATTTTAGTCAAACAAAAGTTTCACACTCTCATTCGCGCTTTTAATAGTAGCATAGATACAAATAATATGATAATATAAGATTTAATGAAAAATGAGAGTATTTTTATGGAACTTAATATACTAAATATAAGACTTAGGGAGGTTCTATAAGGTAGATGAGAAATTGTTCAGCACCATGGACAAAAATGTGTGTACTGATCCATACCACACCTTAACGGGTGATTTGCAAGGTGTCGCACATTTCTGTCCATATCTTGTGTTTGATTCCATGCATCTCAACTATAACATGTGAGATTATCTATGTGGTTAATCATTAAAAACACAATACTTTATTTTTTAGTAATATATATAATAGAAAAAAACAGTAATAAATTACAAAAAAGTTTAATAGTTTATAAAAAATAATATTAAAAATAATTAATAATACTAACAATAATATCAATAATATTTAATAACAAATAATGATATTAATATTAACTAAAATTAGTAATTATATTAATTAAAAAATAATTATTAATATTAATAATTAATGATTAATAAAATAATGTTAACAAAAATTAACAATATTAATAATATTTGATAATAAGTAATAATATTGTTACTAATTACTAATAATTAACAACAATTTATAATATTAATAAAAAATAATATTTAAAACTTATTAATTAATAAAAATATTATTAATAATATTGCTAATATTGTTTTATGAAGTTAATGACAATTTGACATTACTATTATTCATTTATGTAAAATAATAAATAATAAAATATACATTTATCCAATTAAATGTTATTACTTTTTCCATGGTTTTTAAAACTAGATCGGACTGGAAAAATCGAGAACTAGTGACCAGTTCCGTTTTTCGCCAAAATTGGATTTTGGCCAGAAAACATTGATTTGGTTAGCAAACTGCTGACCTGGGCAATTGAACCGTTCGAACCGTTCAACCGTTTTGACCATTTTTTATTTTTTTATTTTTTCTATCAGAACGAGTTAACCGTTCAGTTCAAACGGTTGGATTGGAAAAACCGGGACCGGTTCTGTTTTTCGCCAAAACTGGATTTTGGCCAAAAAATGTTGATTTGGTCAACAAACCACTGATCCAGGCAGGTGAACCGTTCAATGGTTTTGATCGCATTTTATTTTATTTTTATTTTTTTGTCAGAACGGGCCGACCATTCAATGTATTGACACAAGATAACAGTGGTTCAATCCTAAATAAACATCTATGATAAAAAAAATTCAGATGAACATCTATTCAAATAGGTTATGAACAGATTGTTCAATGAACCGGGGCAACTTTGACCGGTGTTGGACACCTTCTTCTAACAGCAAGGCAGAGTGATGGGAGAGCAAGAGCTACAATGGTTTCCTCAGAGAAAGAGCTACAACAATAATATTTCTTAGGATGGTATAAGGATGCAATGCTGCGAATCAATGACTCTTAGAGTTTTTCACCGTTGCTGGAGCAATCCACGATTCTTACCCATGGAAGAGATTTTGCAATATAGTGTGGACTGTTTCACGAGATATTGTGGTTCGGTCCACTCCATACTGAACTGAACGATGCAAATGAGCTGTAGTGTGTTTTCAAACACAAATGTATTGTGGATAACCACGATACCGAACACCACCTTAACGTGTAGGAATTGAATAAAAAATCTAATAATTTAAATTATATTTAGAGTCTTGCAATTAAAAGGRACCAAATTAAAAAATAGGAATATTTTATTTAAGAATAGGATAGAAAATTAATACCTTAAAATAATATTTAATAACAAGGATTTGAATGAATAGAAAAGTAATTCTTCAAATTATAGTCAAAATTTTAGTTTAAAAAAAAGTTTCGCACTCTCATTTCTAAATTTTAAATCCTTGTAATAATTTTAAATTCTAAACACGTAGACGAGTATGAATCTAAAGGCACATCTCTGTAAATAAGCATCACAAACCTCCACTCCCTCACAACCTTATTAAAAATTCAAGACCGTCTTGTTAAGATTCTAACATATACCAATTCTCCCCTCTCCTCATCAGCTCCTCACCACTATTAAAAATGTAATCGAAAACTACCAAAACCAAAATCGAAGAAAACTGGGAATCCATAATCGTGGTGCCTTCCCAGTGTTCGGTTTTCTGCTTCTTCCCTCAATACCTGTAGTGAGCAGGCTTGTAAGGGCCCTCAACTGGGACACTGATGTATGCCGCCTGCTCTGGTGTAAGCTTGGTAAGCTTGGCCCCAAGCTTTCCGAGGTGAAGCGCGGCGACCTTCTCGTCGAGGTGCTTGGGTAGAACGTAGACCTTCTTTTCATACTTTCCGGTTCCCTTCTCCTTCCAGAGCTCAATCTGGGCGATAACTTGGTTTGTGAAGGAGCAGGACATGACGAAACTGGGGTGTCCGGTGGCGCATCCCAAGTTCATGAGCCGCCCATCGGCCAAGACGATGATGCCACTGTTGGTATCAGGGAAGACCCACCTATCTGTCTGAGGCTTAATTGTGATCCTCTTCACACCAGGGTAGGTCTCGAGACCGTGCATATCTATCTCATTGTCGAAGTGGCCGATGTTGCAGACAATGGCGTTATTCTTCATCTTTCTCATGTGGTCGACCATGATGATGTCCTTGTTACCGGTGGTGGTAACGAAGATGTCGGCTTCGGATAATACGTCCTCGAGGGTCTGGACAGGGATGCCTTCCATGAGAGCCTGGAGGGCACAGATGGGATCGATCTCAGTCACGATTACACGGGCACCCGCCTGCTTGAGGGCAGCAGCACAGCCCTTGCCCACATCTCCGTACCCGCAGACGACTGCAATCTTGCCGGCGATCATGACATCGGTGGCCCTCATCAGCCCATCAGGGAGAGAATGCCGGCACCCGTAGAGGTTATCGAACTGTAATAATAATAGAATAATGAATTTTGTTAATGTAACGAGTATTAATTAATAGTTAATGAAAATAAGAAAAAAAATTCTTAGAACAGTCAGATCTTTTTAACTTGAATCTCTCCGTTCAAGAGTGACAGCTTGGAAATCCTATTTTAGTTTCTAACGACTTCACCGGAACTGTAATTTCCCTTCCAGCAATCGAAACTCAACAAAGATTTGAAGAATCTTCGAATGGTAACAGCAGGAGATCAAAATGAATATTCTATACAGAGAGTGGACTAAAATTTTAACAGAATGAAAGCAAAGCATAGTGAAGTGTAAAATCTCCATCTTAAAAAAAATTTATAAAAGATTGAGAAGCGCAGTGTAACAGTACCTTACTCTTGGTGACAGAGTCGTTAACGTTAATAGCTGGAAAGAGTAAAGTTCCAGCGGACTGCATCTGGTAAAGCCTCTTGACACCTGTGGTTGTCTCCTCAGAAACACCAACTAATCTTTCCTGCATCTTGTGATACTTCTTGGGATCGGTTTTCAGCCCATCTTTGATAAGCGTGAGCACGATCTGGAACTCGGCGTTGTTGGTCGACGACGGATCGGGAAACTTCCCGGTCTTCTCGAATTCTTCCTCGGCTTTCACTCCCTCATGGATGAGCAATGTGGCATCCCCACCGTCGTCGACGATGAGATCGGGGCCGCCACTGGGACCCCAGTCAAGGGCCCTCTCAGTGCACCACCAGTACTCCTGAAGGGTCTCACCCTTCCAGGCAAAGACGGAAGCACTGTCGCGAGCGATGGCAGCGGCAGCGTGGTCTTGGGTGGAGAAGATGTTGCAAGAGCACCAACGGACCTCGGCCCCGAGGGCGGTGAGGGTCTCGATAAGAACCGCTGTCTGGATCGTCATATGGAGAGATCCAGTGATCTTTGCACCTTTAAAGGGCTGGGAGGGGCCGAATTCAGTTCTGCAAGCCATCAATCCGGGCATTTCGACCTCTGCGAGATCGATCTCGAGCCGGCCAAAATCGGCCTGGGACATGTCCTTGACCTTGTATTCACGGCCAGAGGAGGTCTTGTCGACGATCAACGACATGGTTGCAGATATATCTGAGATCTACTCTGCTTGGTTTCTCTCTGTCACTCTGTGTCTAGTTCTCTTTCTCCGCAAGAGGATGCCGAGACGAGAGTGATGTACGTGTAGGCAATGAAGGTCTCCAAGTGAAAAGCTATATATAGACGGTTCTTCTTAACGGATCTGGTGAAGATGAGCCAACCGATGCGGAAGGATACGTAGGACCCACTTTCCGCTTACGATTTCATTATTAACCAGATCCAGCTTTCTACGTTGGATGTTGGCAATGTCAATGACCCATTGATTTGCACAAAATTCCTTGTCAGTGGGTCGGGTTAACCGACAAACTAACACTGACTATATTGGGTCCTTAATCGGGTTACGGGTCGGGTTAGAGTTGAGGTACGCCAATCTGTATATTAAAATGGAAACGTTTCCTTCCTTTTGAGGTCAATGTCATCTCCTCAATTCAACTTCTCAACTTTAGACAAATACTCTTCAAATGAGGTAAGCAACTTGTATAACCAAAATATTCTCAGTTCTCATCATATTCATCCCTCATCTCATTTTGTGTTTGCTTCAATAGGTTCTCTTTCAAATGTTCAGGTACTCATCCAAATCTCTTAGTCCGTTAGTCATTCCAATTTCTCTATTCTTTGTTCAAGCTGTGGTATGACTTGCACATAGTCAATTATCCCACACGGCATAAAAATGCCATATTTGAGAGTAGCTGACTAAATAATAATCAAAATTTTACTTCTAAAATTGACATACTTCAAAACACTCAAGAGGTCGACTTAGTAGAAGATAAATATTGAAGTTTGAACTCCCTTTTTCCAAGAGATACAAACAAATAGGCATGCCCGCTCTGATATTTTAGAAGCAATATAGATCCATGTTTGTTTTCTATTAATTATTAAAAATGGAAAAAGAAAAGTATACATGAAATAACATGTCAATACCACCACTTGGACGATGAAATTAACCATCCACCAAAATCAAATCAAATGGAAAAATTTGTAAAATTTCATTGGAAGCTCATAGTATCAATGGAGAAGCAGCCTTTTCAATGGTCATCTAGTCACACTAGGAGAAGAGACCCTTAATTAACAATTCTCTTTAGGCTGCGTTTGGAAACGATGCAAATAGAATGTAAATATAAATAGTGCATTAATTTGGTCCAGAAAAATGTAAAGTTAGGTACATTAGTTATGAATTGACAAATTTACTTTCTTCCCAAACTACTCTTAGTTGTAATGATGCAAATAGGAATTCCTATGGCTCACTTTGAAAGGAGTACTACAAATGCAAATATGTACAGTACAGATACAAGCAGAATAATATAAAATACAAGGTTTTGCACTTTATATATTTGGGTTTGTACTCCTTCCAAACCAAGCCTATATAGAAATAAACCTTTTTAAATATTAATCACCTTGAATACAAATTTAATTATCCTTCATTTTAGGTGTAAACATAATGACAACTTAGAAGGACCTTGTCATACCAAGATGATCGAGGTGAAGCCATTTTCCTTGGGTTTGTATTAGCCATAAGTGGAACATGTGACTAGGGGTTGTAGGTACATAGTGCTCGCTCAGCCCTTCAGAGTACAGAGAACACTAAATCAATACCATATGGACGCTTGCGATCGGTCTATAGCTCATCTATCCCCTGTGATGAACTTATAGTACACCGCATGTTTGCGATAAACACACGGTTCATCACACGATTGCGATGAATTTTATATGTATCCGGTTCTGCGGTGAACCTTGAAACATGCACGACTCTGGGATAGACCTCAGACACACATGGCCCGACGATGAACTTCAAAAGAGCGCGGGTCTTACGACAAATCCTAGATTGTTACAGAATCACAATTCATTAAGTAGTGTGCATAATAAGGAGCCACATAGGTTTAGTAAAAGGTCGCTTATTACGTAATGGCGTCACTAGCGCCACGCTAGTTAAGTAAGGTGCAAAAGGTAGTAGCACACGTGGATTATGATAATCCTCGGGTGAAAGGAAAGTCAACCTTTGAGAGATCTCATTTGAACACGAGGCAAAACCCTAGTAATGATCCTTAATGAGTGACAACGGATCTAATATTCTCTTTCCTAGTAGAAAAATGAGCACTTTTGGCTCCTTCCTTTCGGGACATCAGGATCCCTACCTATAAATAAAGATCCTCCTCATAACGAAATTCATTCATTCAACTCTTGATCAACCCTATCATTGGATTCCCTGCTTAGCCGTTTCATAACTCCCCTTGCCCAAGCCTCCCTGATTCTCTACTCTCGGTCTTCCTTTGTTCTTCAAGGAGACCATCCCCACCTAGCCTGACCACCTCCTACTTACATTAGAATCTCTGGTTCCTTCCTTGATCACAGAGGATGGCCGCCCGTAGAATCAACATTTCACCAATCCCCGAGGAACACATCACAATTCCCGAAGATACCAACCCAGAAATCAAGAATCAGTACGAGGCGAAAATGGCCAACCAGGCTGATATCGAAATCCTCTCAAACAAGGTGTATGAGTTCGAAACCCRTTTTGAGGCTCAGTTGAAAAAATCGAGCAGATGCATGATGAAACAAGGGATGCCCTACAAATCCTCCTCCAACGGTTAGATCAGACCGAACAGTCTTCCTTCACCCCAGCCGCTGCTCCCATGAACATCCCTGCCAGCCATCACGCCTCTAATCCAATCTTACTACACCAGAACAGCCTAATAGAGTTAGTCTCGCGCCCGTGCAAACAGGGCAACACCCCATGGGCCAGCCCAGGACTCTGTCCCAAATAGACCCAGCAATGGAGGCTCCACTCAGTCGGGATGAGCTGAGGGAATATGTTCAGCGGTTGGTAGTAGAAAGTCGCAACCGAGCCCAAGATTCGGTTGTCCTGCAGAAACCCTACTCTGACTGGATCTTATACAAACCTTACCCCGCCAATAGGAGCACATAAGCAAGTATGAAGACGCTCTGGGGTCCTTCACCCTCGATGGTGACCTAAAGGTCTGAGAATTCTCAGTCTTTGATGGGGCCGGCATACACGTGGTTTGTCATCTTTACTGCTGGGAGCATTGCTTCGTGGGCTGAACTGGCTAAGAGATTTTTGTCCAAGTGGTTTACCCCGGAAAGGAAATTAACGATGGATAACCTAAGAAACATGGAGCAGCGTTCAAGAGAGGACCTTTTGGCATACGTCATGAGGTTCCAAAAATTTGACCCACTTTGTCTTCGATGAGCAAGCCACAGAAAAGGGCTTCGTCAAGTAGTGTGTACAAGGAATACATGCTGCCTACAGAATAAGCATCGAAAACGTAGAAGTGGAGACATTCAACCAGCTGTGGCGGCGAGCAGAGAGGACAGTGCACACAGTTAAGAACATTGTGGCCCAATCCATGCCGGTACTGGGGCAATTTGGTAAGAACGAGGCCTATGCAGTTGACCACAGGCCCTGCGACATTCCAGGGCCCTACTACCAAAACAACAATCAAGGTAGGAGAAGTAATTTGCTAATCCCTCCTCCTTTTCCCTATACTAAAGAGGAGCTAATAATAATAATGAACAAACTAGTTGAGGATACGTTAATCAACCTGCCGCCACCACCGGCGGGGGCAGACCTGGAGAAAGACAGACATGGAGGAAGGGGGTGCAATTATCACCAGTCCCCGCACCACGACCTGATGGACTGCTTTTCTTTGAGAAGACTATTTGTACAAAAGGTGAAATTGGATGAATTTGTGAAGTGTGACCCTGCGAGAATAGAAACTGACCCCCTCCCGGCTCATTCCCAAGGGGGGAGCATTAACATGGTAGGGTCACCGGGTCTGTAACAGAAGGATCCATCGAACTACAGGTCGCAATCAGACCATTCTCGATACAGCAAGAATTACAAGTAATTTATGAAAGAACCGCATATCATACTCTGCTGGGGCAGCCGTTGATACATGGCTTGGCCCTAGTCCCGTCAACATACCACCAGTGCATAAAGGCTAAACGTAAAGGGCGTATAATAAGGATCCCAGCGACTAAAGTTTCCTTTGACAAGTTAGAGGCTCATCTTCAAGATGCAATTTACTATACTGAATTGGTCGACGAAGGAGAAATGAGGATAGCCAAGATGGAGGGACTACAGTTACCGAGCCTTAGGCAGAACAAGCCCTTGGTAGTGCCAGAAAAGAGAAAGAGGAGAAGGTGTGTGTGGATGACTGGTGATGACGGGAGGAGTTATTACACCATCATCACAGACTACGAGGATGGTGAATCATCGGCAGCCAAGAAAGCCATCCCTGAGGTATTATTTTATAGATGATTCGTTTTATGATATTTTCTTAATAGAATAAAGGGGTGACTTAATCACAAGCTGTAATTGTCATCATCAAGTAGTTTCCAAAATATATATGTTTTTTTTTGGGTCTACCCAGAATCATCTTCAAATCACATGCTTTAAACAAATGTAACTTTCTCTTAATGAAACTGTATTTACAAATGATGCTTCAACCAGAACCATTTCATTGTTTCATTTTCACAAAAAGACATCATAGTAGTTTTGCCACAAAAAGATGCATCGCAACCTGAACAAGTACTACAAATGTTAAAGGTACGATAATAAAATGCACTAAGTACATAACTAATAATTGAACCAGGAAACACTAAGACTCACTCGCGATAATAGGAATAGAAAAAAGAAATCTTAGAATATTGCAATGAGATCCAAGCACCTCCCAAGTATATGAGGGATTCCATCGATGCAGTGGAGGAAACCTTAAAAGATATCAACATGGCCGCAGAGGGAGCAGAGAAAAGGCCATTGTACATATCGACCAAACTAGAACCCGATGACAGAGAAAAGTTGATGGCACTGCTGAAAGGTAAAAACCTTTCTTTATCGCAAAACACTAAAATCCATTTAAAAATAGACTAATCTGTGTGTACTTTCACAGAATTCTAAGATGTTTTTGCTTGGTCGTATGACCACATGCCAGGTTTGGACTTGGCCCTTATCAGACATTCCCTATGCATAGATCCCAAGGTCAAGCCCGTAAAGCAGCTCCAGACGGTTTTTAAGCCAGAAGTAGCTTTGAAGATCAAGGAAGAAGTAG